ATTGGATCAATGTAAGTTTCAAACATTTTCCACAATTTAAACCTCTATTATGATGAACTTATTTTACTCTGATGTGAAATTTGTTTATTGGTTCGTTCATTTTCCTCACAATAAAACTGAACGAATAAATAAAATCTACTTCATAGTTTCAGTTCACCAAAAGATCTCCACCAGGAAAATGGACAAAACAAAACAAAACAAAAAAATATATGCATTTCTTGAATTGTATGTAAAATGATTGTTTCGCTAACAGTTCGCACCATGGTGATCATCAGAAATTCATGAGTCCTTGAGCAAGATTCGCTGAAGATATCTTTAGACTGAAACAGATGAATCAATTCAAATCACTCATTTTCCAGTGTAATTCATGGAGCATAGAAGGTTAGCTCTCACATGCGAGTGTAAACATTGTACTGTTCGAATTCGCGAAACACCATTTCGATGAAACGGTTCAAATGAAAACATAAAGGTGAACATCTGGCAAAGACAATATATTTGTTGCACATTCAGATAAAATGCATGTTAATAGCCAAAACAAAGGCACTGCCCGAAAGCTGAGAATCGTATCATGAGATGTTATCTACAAATGTGATCTTTTAGGAACGTGAGAATGGGAGACGAAACAGAGGCCATAAAAGAAGACAGCAGAGTCAGTGGGACAAGAAGAGTCAGAGTCAGTCGAAGTCAGAGGTCGGAACCCAATCCGTACTTATTTCCTAATCATCCAGTCCAATGTGTTAATAGGCCAGCGATTGGCCACTAATGTTTTATATTCGACTTGTATTATATTACTAATCTAATTATCGTATTGGAATTGTAATCAGCCAGCGATTGGCTTCTAATTTATTTATTTATTCACTTATATCCATATTCGGTCAATTGTATCGTACTAATGAGTGTCGTGTGTATTCATAACCACTCATAATAAACGTTATTCAATTATTCATCTGTGACCAACCACACCAATATTTATTCAAGTTTCAACAAAAATGTCGTTCTATTTGGACAACAGAAATAGTTTGAGGTGAACGATTGCAGTTCCCATCATCAGATTTCTGAATCATTTGATACTTATTTAGGCAAGATTTATGAATCAGTGAAGATATGAGTGAAGAAGAACCCTATAAAAGAGAAGCCAAGAAATGAATCAAGCATTCGTGCTACAAAGCATGAATTACTACTCGGCATCATCACTGTCCAAGTATCTGGTCCGTGCTCGAGAAGAGGTGGCTTTCTATATTGGCCAAAGGAAAGAGGAGAGTAAACCTGAGTCAGTTGCAGACCTGCCAGATCAGCCTTCATCGAAGTGATATTTGTGATCCTACACAATTCCACACTTGTGCGTATTCTGTATACAGTTTTAGCTGATTGTATCAGTTTTCGGGGGAACGAGGATGGAACCCCAAAATTTCCCGTTCCTCGATGCAAAACATGTTGAGCAAAACTGATCAATGCAATATGCCTGATGGACAAATGTGTTCAATGAGCACATATAAAGAAGTTTCGATTGACCACTTATACGGACCCAAAAAAAACTGAGAAAAACAAAACGAGAGAACGATTACAGCATAAAGCGTGCATGAGATCGATTATGAGACATTTTCAACGAAAGAAAAATTACTTAAGAGAGTATACTATCAATATCACCACACTATTAATAGAAATCAGTACCACAATTTCTGGATCACATAATAAGATAATGTTGGTATGGATCACATGATAATTTAATATTGGTAGATAATTTAATATCCAGACCAAGTGCATACTCTCATCTCATTAACAACCATATAAGTTTTTGACGCCATCAGACAGAGGAGCTTCAAGGCTACAAGAGACATGTGCATGTAGCTAACGAAAAATCCATATTTCCAGAGAACTCATTGGATTTACAAATGAGCTGAACGGAATTTCCCATCTCAAAAATTGTTCAGCATGTCGTTCGAATTTATTTCACACTTGCACTTCTTTCCATATTTCAAATATATATATCAAGAGACTGCTTTCACTCTCTTTCTGTTATCAAAAGTCGCAACTTTCTGTTGCATGTTCACATTATCTGAAATTCATGTTCCTGCAACGAAGAGCCTCGGAACTGTTCGTAAGTTCAATAATAATGAATTTTTAAAGCGACCCTCATTCTCTGTTTGGTAGAGGGTGAACTGGCCAATGGGCGTGTGAAGATGGAAGGAGAGCAGCGCGCGTTAGCGGTTTTCATACCTCTAGCAACAGAAGAAAACGCGTAACAGACATGTGAACGAATGTGCTTGCGATGGAGAGAGAAAACACAGTTGTTTAATTGGTACGATTGAAGCATCGTCGTCAAAAAATCGAATTATTTGAGATATTCCAACCCTGATTTTTTGACTAACGATGGCACTTGAGAAGCTGGGAAGGTGAGAAGCTCTATCAGAAACCGTTCTCAGTTTGAAGATTGCCGCAAACTTTTTTTTATATATTACCTCGCCGAAGTGAGAATATTCATGAAATTCAATGAATTGCGAAAGGGTGCGTGCATATAAGGTGTACCTTGTGTCACGCACATTGAGAAAACATCTGAGATGGCTGTGAACATGTTATTAACAACTACAGTCAAGGGGCTGTTTGAATATATTCGAAAAGGATTTGAAATAAAATCCTTAAATTCGGTTTTCCGGAAGGTCAAAAGCGTGTAATTCACAGTTAAGAGATGTTGGTAGCGTCGAGGCGGTTGCTACGAGCAACTTACCTACAGACTTGCGGTGTGTTGTTATGCTCCAACGATATGGCTTTTTAATGTTTTGATGTGTGTGAGTGCTATGATTATTCCATGCGATAACAGATATGCTCATTTTTGACGAGAATATTCAAAAGGGATATTCTTGGATATCCCCGTTCTGGCGAGAATATTCAAAACGGACATCTGCTTTGAAGATCATCATACTCTTTTCGAGAGATGACCTCTCGAAGAAGTTTACGATGATCGTTAAACTGAAAAGTGCTTCTCACCGGAATTTCCATGCGTTTCAAATGTGTATCTCGAACAACAGTTCCATCACATCGTAATCACACCTTATATACGCAGGTATCAACAAATTTCATGAATATTCTGACTTCGGCGAGATGATTTCCGAAAAAGTTTACGGCGATCTTTAAATTGAGAACGGTTTCTCGTAAAGATTTTCATGTGCCCCAAAAAACCACCTTACATATGATTTATCATAAAATTAGGTTTGTAATATCTCAAATATCTCGATTGCTTGACGATGCTTCAATCGCACCAATTGTTCATATGCGCTTTCTCGCTCAATCGCAGCACTAAAGGCGTGAAAACCGTTGACGCACGCTGCTCTCTCCCCCTCTGTCGTCATGTTGCTTTGTTCTACGCCCATTGTCTCTCTACGACAACACCCTTGCTTCACTTCCAATTAATAATGTTGGTAATTAAGGAGCAATTTTATGAATATTTCTCCCTATTTAGAACCGAATTCACCTAAAATTTTCATATTCTTAATTTGTGTTCCATTAGTTCTGATAGTAATTGCGAGAGATCGGGTTTTCTTAATTGGTTTCGATTGAGTTGAGTGGTGTTGTGCTGCTGGTGGGGTGTTTTGTTGGTGAGTGGTAAGATGAGTTGTGTGCTGAGTTTTGTTTTTTCGTAGCGGTGAAATTTGTTTTATTTCGTCGATTGGTGCATTTCTTGCGGTAATATTGTGATCATAATGATGTATTTATCGGATATGACCATTTCGAGATGATAAAGTCACAAGTTTTGTCTTGTTGATTCGTTTCGAATGATGCGGTTTTGTTGCTAATCCGATATATTTGATATTCACTGCTAATCCATGATGGCATCCATCTGACATTTGCATTGCTATCGCTAGGAAATGATGTGATGAAATGACTGTGTTCTGCCAACTCAAGTGCAGATTACAGATTCATTTTCGTTGATGAATGTGTGCTTATATTCGGGTATTATTTGATAGTTGTCTTTGTTATTTGTGATAGCATTTCCATGTGTAGCAAGTGTATAAAGATGAAGATATACATTGTGCTTACATTTGCTTATTTGATTGTGCTCAGTGGTTATATTAATACGTTAAACTTGATATGTAACCGTCTGTTGTACAAATAGTATGCAGTTATCAATAAGTGTACTTTATTTCTCTCATTTATTCCTTTAGTTACGCATCATCCCGTTTTGATACGTTGCTCATGATTGCAAGTAGCCATTTTGATGATCCCCGTTTACAATTCCGCGTATTCGATATTTATCATGCGGTGTTCATCCCGCTTCGTGTGCGCGTTGTTTTGTTAATATTGCGCGCTGTGTTTTCGGAATATACACAAACAAATGTCACCTGCTGACCAAATAAGCTTTTATAAATAAACGTTGAGTTAGAGTTTGGTGAACCATTACAGCGTTGTTATTCGAAGTTTTTGTTGCGTTCCCTTCCACTTCATCGATTTTTTTTCGTGGTGTTTTCATAGAAATGATTCCATATTTAAGGTGCATGGTTAGTATTGCAATTATAAGAGATGATTTCAGCAAGGAAAAGATCTAGGAGTGGAAGCGTCTCGAAGTGACGACGCCTTGGCCGCTGGTGTGTTGATATCGAGGCGGATTGTTGACTGATTGACTGTTTGTTTGATTGTTGTTAAGGTTGGAATCGACTTTTTTTTTACCTGTCATCTTTAACATTTACGTTTTTATTTTACATTGCGAAACATTTTCGGCCTCTTGTCAGTTGTTTTTTTTTTCACAATCTCAAATCGTTGCAGTTTCTTTTTTTTTTGGATCCACTTGTGTAAGCTTGTTATGTTGACAAGGAAATATGTAATATGCTTTTGAATTGATAAGTTATTAGTTTGATTGATAACTGATAAATGTTATTAGTTTGATAATTTGAATTGGTAAGTGATAAGTTATATGAATGTTTGATGATTATGGAAGTATGGTAATTTCAGTGAGAATTGTGCTTATTTTTAGAGGGTGAAATTGGTATCTAGCTGGAAGAAGCAAGATGTCAGATGGAAGTAGTGGCGAAGAGCAGCGAGGTGGGGCAGCTCCGCACGGTGAGCAGGAACTGGCGAGTAAGATGCTGCAAGTTCAGAGTAAACGATTTTATGTGGACGTAAAGCAGAATAACCGAGGACGTTTCATCAAACTTGCTGAGGTTTTTAGCATGATTAAAATTGTTGTTGTTATTATCATAATCATGATAACAATTCACTGAACACTTTGGATCAATGAAATCTTTCGTTTTTCGATAAGCCCTTTGGTTGATGTTTGTGGTTTTAAGGTTGGTTTGGGTGGTCGTAAAAGTCGTTTGATTCTCTCGATGACAGCAGCTGTGGCGTTCCGCGATCATCTGGATAAATTCGTGAAGTTCTTCGATGGACTTGGTTGGTGGATGTGACTTATGCTTTTGAAGTTTTTTAAAATTGTGAAGTCAAATGGCTTTGATTCCGAAAGATTGTACATATGAAGGAGGATTGATGTCTTTAAAGAGATATAATGAAAATGTGAGTGAATGCTTGATTGGATTGAAGCGAGTGGAGAGGAGCCGAACGTTGGTGAGAATGGTCAGCTGAAGTCTGAGATTATCATCTACGAGTCGCGACGTTACTACTTGGATTTGAGGGAGAATCAGAGAGGTCGTTATTTGCGTGTTTCGCAGACAGTGTCACGTGGCGTTCCAGGTGTACGCTCACAGGTAAATTAAGCATTACGGATCAACTTTGTCTTGGCTGTGACACTTTTTAACTGACTGCTTATAAGTTAGTGATGCTTATTCAAAGTTGCTTGTAATCAACAATACATATTGCAGATAGCATTACCGGCTCCAGGGATGACACAGCTCCGTGATGCACTCAAAGAATTGCTCGACAAGTATGGTGAAGGATATCTGAATGAGGTGCGTTAGTGGATGAGTTCGATTGAAAGAGTCTCATATCGTAACAGATGAAGCAATATATCGTGAATGTTGTTTTAGGTAGATGCAGACATAGAACTACCGGAACCAAAGCAAGTACGTGCTGAGAACAACAAATTATTCTACTTTGATGTGGGACATAATGAGCGTGGAACATTTGTTAGAATCTCTGAGGTAGGTGGTTTGTGAATTGTGATATGTTGAGTTGAATTTTAATGCATTCAAGTGTTTGCAATTTTATACTTTAACGTTCTTAATGCAATTGAGTTTTGGTAAAAATCTTTCAGGTGAAACAAATCTCTGGACATCGTTCTTCGATCGCAGTGCCACAAAGCTCGTGGGGTGCATTCCGTGATGTTTTAGGTGAGTTGTTGGACAAAATGAATGCACCGAAGAATGGTGATGGTGCAAACAAAGATTCTGGAGCTGGTAGTGGCACAGAGCAACCTGCAAGTGCAGAGACTGGTGAAGCTGAAGCCCAAGGTACAGTGAAGAGTGAACCCACCACACCGGCCTAAAGTTGTTAACATTTGAGTTGTTTAATCCACCTATCTATAAGTTTGTTTGTTTGGATTATGGCCAGCCAATACTTGCTTTTTATTTAAGTTTATTCTCGTTTTTAATTGTTTCGTTATTTAATTGGTAACTTTGGTTGGTTGTTGTCAACCTACATATTCCTCTTTTATTAGTTATGGTATATACTTCAGATCGTTCAATCTCTTTTCTTATTGATATGGTATAATGTTCGTAAATATTATTCTCATTGTTGCGACCCAGTTCTATCATTCTCCACGAATGATCTTTATATGATCTAGAATATGAATTGTTTTTGCCAGTGATTTTATTATTATGTTTATTGTAATTGTTGTTGTTGTTGCTATTGTTGTTTCTTTTTTTACAGTAGTTCTGTTGAGTCATACTTCTTTCTAGTATTATCTGGATGGTTTATTTCGTTGCTATTAGTTGGTTTGACACTCTATCCCAGAAACTTTAGAACGTTTGAAAGATGAACTTTGAGCAGATTATATGATCAATTCAATTGATTCAATTGCAATCAAAAAGTTCATTTCTTTTTATGGAATAATGTACACGATAATCTCTTCTACTCATCAGTTAGCGGTTCATCAATCTGAATTTCTGCGTTTTCCACTTTGTGCTCCTTGTTGCACACACACACACACACATGAATACGCTAAACTTTTATCATCCGTTTCTTTCGTTATCCTGAAAATTTTCGTCTGATCAATCAATTTTCAGTGGATTTCTTGGTTTTTATGATCCTTTTTGAGAGTTTTCGAGAGTGGATTGGTTGTTTTTCTTTTTTGTGAATTCTTTTCGAAGATCATTTATTTTAGCTTCGAGCAGCACCGTTATATCCATGGACATTTTGTGTTTTTTAAGCACATTTTGTGCGCATTTGAAATTGTTCAGTTGAAACTCTTTGGGCAGTGATGCCTAGTAATTATCGAAACACCAAACACAAATCACTCTCGATAAGCACCGCTTCTTCTGAGTCGTTAATCTGTCGATTTGAATATTTTGGTTTTGCACTCATACCTCCCCCTTTCACCATAAACATTTCCATAAATTAGTTTCGATTGTCTCTCATTCGTTTTAATCGAATAATCGAGTTTTGATCATCTTGAATCGCATTTATTCATATGTAACATGATTTGTCATTTGGTTGTAAGACGCAGTTCTTCTGTTGGTATAATAGAATAATATCAAAATATTCATAATATCATCATACAATATGAATTATGGCTTTTATTGTTAGTATTAGCATTATTACTGATTGTGAGCAAAGTACGCAATGCAGCATAAAACTGAACCGTTTCATCAGTGCTGTTTGTTTTCTTGTTCTCATTATTTTCGATAGCGTTATTTGGTAGAATATTAATTCATCTTTTATCTCATCTTTGGAATCTTTTAAATTTTGATCATAATACGATAAATTTGCAACAAAAAACAATCCGTTTTCCAATCGTTTATTTGTGTTTGTTGAAAGTTTTTTCGTTTTCGTTTAACAGTTTATTTGGTTTATTCGAATTAATCTCGTTACTATATTCCCATTAAGGTTTCGGTTATGATGAGTACGTTTAATAATTCGCGTCATTATTGTCTTCGTAGTAATGCTAGCTGCTTGTTGTTGTAAGCTACGCGAACGTTCGTTATCGCTCTTCGATCTGTTTTCTTGTTATCGTTTCCTTTCAAATAAATGTTTTCGATGTTTTGTTTTCGCTGAGCTCGTTCGTGTTTCGTGGAACTGATAAACGTCTGCAGACGTGAACACCTTGTCCGATTCAGTTATTCGTTTGGCTTCATATTTCAATTTCATTTGATACTTGAATAGTAACACAATTGAAGTTTTTGTTATGGTAAATGTTCAATGAAATAACTGATTGTTCAGTTGAATAATAATTCTTTATGATTTCATATGTCGGTTTGCTATACGTGTTCGTTCTCATGAGCAATCCTGATGAAATCAAGTACATTGAACTGTATGGATTTGAAATCTCTCTTCGTATTCGCAGATTTCTTCCTTTAGGTTTAAGGTGGATTGATGTGAGGATAAATGTTGAAGCACATAATTGAGTCGAATTGAAATCTCGTCGGAAATAAGCAAAAAAAAAAGAACCGTGTAATAACTCAGTTCTGGAGGAGGCCTGAGCAGTAGTTTGATATATCTCATAAGGGATTTGTGTGGAATGCTTATCGTTTCATGTATTGTTCTAGTTGAAAACTTGTCTACTTGATCGAATTCCGATTGAGTTCAAGTTGATGCGCTATGAATGTTGTGCTATCGTTTTATTATATTATCGCTATGCCAGTCGGTTTATTGTACTACGAATAACATCGATTGTACTGCATGTTCGGATATCATCCTAAGATCAGTTCATCAAGTGTGAGTTGATAATGAATAACTGATGCTGAACTTATCGATGAATTATCTCGATGATACGATCAATAAAGCTTTCTGTTAATGATGATTGTTGCTTATGCAACGCGCTCAATTGGAATACGTTATCAGTGAATGTGCGATACCAATATCTTCTCACTGAAAATTTGTTTCAACTTATTATTGTGGAAAATATCAGAGGGTATGCTTGGAAGTTGAATATCTTAAGCCGCTCTCCTGGTTCAGAACAAATGTTTTGGAACGAACATGTATTCAAGGAGTTTTGTGAAGTTGGGATTATGTGAATCTAAAGTTTTACAGTAAATTGTCATGAAATTAGGTTGAATGTTCAACGTAAATGAGTAAAGGAATGCAAAACTGTTGAAGTTAGTGACTTGAAATCATTGAACGACCGGAAACTGCAGTATGGATAACGGTGAAAATTGGCCAGTTGAAAGTTTGGTGGATGGTGCTCGACTGGGCGTGCGGATGAGTGGCACTGATGAATTTCGTGAGTTGACTGTGATTTGATTTGAATCGCCTGAGAGATGAAATGAGCATTTTTCAAATATTTTTTCAGTCTTGTTCGAAATTCTCATGGAATCAAGATTTCACTTCGGTATTGTGAAAGTAGTTTTGAGTGAACAAAGAAGCAGTTAGAGGTCAGAGGAAAAAAGTATTCAACTTTTTGAGGTGATGCGGAAATTCTGTCGATACGAGCCGGTTCAGGCGAGCGTAAATATCGTTTCTACGTTCACTATTTGGAGTGTAATCGACGACTGGATGAATGGGTTGATGACAGCGCATTGGACCTGAGCTGTGTGAGATTCCCTCAGAAAGGAGGCAAGATCCAGAAGACACAAATAGAAACTGCATCAAGGTCAATCAAGATTCATTCGTTTCAGCATAACAATTAATCTGTCGCTGTGGTTAGGTTGATGGGTAATTCTGTTTAATGTAAGCTGAATTTGGAAAGAATGGTGTGCAAAATGTAACTGAGAGGCGGTATTGTTGTTTCGAAGGAATTGTTTATATCTGAAGTTTCCACAAGAATTCTGAAGCATTTCAAAAAGATTATAAAGTTTAAGAAAGAAGGCAATCAACAACTATGGACATGAATATAATCATTCGCAATAGTTTCTATTAAGAGAATCCCAAAGTATTTCACTTTATTGGGAAACATTATGAGTTTGTTCAGTTCACGAGCTTCCTCGGTGGAACGAGAACCACCAACGAAAAAAGGTGGTAGTCGGAAAAGGAAACAGATCACGGATGCGATGGAGTGTCTGAAGGTGGAAGAGCCAAATATACGTGCATCGTCACCGGTTTCGGTGGTTAGCGATAGACCAGGTGCGTCCGTTGGCATCGAATTAACCAGAAGGGATACGAATCAAATTGAAAACTTCAATGACATTCTTTGGTAATATTACGAATTTCTAGCGCCGAGTCAGAGAGGTTCGATGTCGATGGTTGGTCACAGTGAGGACGCTTTGACACGAATCCGGAATATTGAAATGATTGAACTTGGCAGATATCGTATGCAGCCGTGGTACTTCTCACCATATCCGCAAGAACTAACCACCCTCCCTTGTATATATCTTTGCGAATTTTGTTTGAAATTCCTCAAAAGTGTTACGTGCTTGAAAAGACACATGGTTAGTTATTTAATTTACCTATTAGTTACTTTGCTCGAGGTAATCATTTTTGCAGTAGAATAATCCTTTCAGTTAGCATTTTAGTCGAATTGTTCAATTTATTCGAATGGTTCTTGTTGTTGAGGTGGATGAATGTTTTTTATATGTGAATCGGTAGGATCGTGATTCGTTGAGTCACGTTCAGATATGAAGTTGTGTTGTTGTTGCTGTCAGTATGAATTTAATTTTTTGCAGAAGAAATGTCATTTGAAGCATCCACCAGGTAACGAAATTTATCGATCTGAATCGCTGTCATTCTTTGAGATTGATGGACGCAAAAATAAGGTTGGAACAGTTTATTACCGTATTTAATTTGATTTTCCGCCCGCTAAATTTTCATATTAACGTTTCAATTTTCGTATTTATTACGCCTCTGGTATAATTTTTGAGGGTGTGTAAATAATTTTAGTTCGATACAGATGATATTTCTTGTTGAACTGTTCAATTTCAGACTTATGCACAGAATTTGTGTCTGCTTGCAAAGTTGTTTCTGGATCACAAAACACTCTACTATGATACAGACCCTTTCTTGTTCTACGTGATGACCGAGCAAGATGATCGTGGATTTCATATTGTTGGATACTTTTCGAAGGTTTCGATTTAGCATTTAATTCCTCTCATAATCCTCAGCGTTTTAGTTTCTGATTTTTTTCTGAGCTTTGATATGTGAAATCAATTGATGTCTCAGAAATGTGTTTTGTATTTTATCTGTCCATGTATTTATTAGGCAGTATTTTTGTGTCCATGTAAAACGGTCAACCGAATGCTTATTTCAATTTTGATTGATTTGCAGGAGAAAGAGTCTGCTGAAGAGTACAATGTAGCATGTATTTTGGTGTTACCGCCCTATCAGAAGAAAGGTTACGGTAGACTGCTGATCGAATTCAGTTATGAGTTGTCGAAATGTGAAGGCAAAACTGGATCGCCTGAGAAACCTCTGTCAGACTTGGGATTTGTGAGTGTTATTTTGTGTTGTTATTGTTTTTTTATTATAATATTACCAGAATTTTTAATTGTCCTTGTTGTTTGCTGTTATGATCACTTGTGTTTGATGATTGTTTTCTTGTTGTGATTGTTCTCTAATGCTGTTCAGTTATCGTATCGAAGTTTTTGGTCACAAACTATAATCGAAAAACTGATAAAACGTCGAGAAAAGTGTGATCCATGTGAGCAGTTGTGCGTGTCGGTGAATGATCTGAGTGAGGAGACGAGTATACGCAAAGAGGATATCATTTCTACGTTGCAAGTAAAAACATTTGATTGTTGAGAGTGAATTTTATGATTGATTTCGTGTAGTGTAACGGGGTGATTTGTGAAGTATTTTTTGAGTAATTTGTATTGATTTTAAAAATGAATTTCGTTGAGAAGGATTTTTTGAAAAGAACAAATGAATATTTCCGTTATTCAATGAAATTTATAGAAAGTCTCATTCTCGCATATAAAATATTCATTTAGTCGATTGCAAATATTTATAGAAAAGAATTTGTTAAAAACAAAATTTATTTTTTCATTCACTCTGTTTTTATTTTATCGTATTTATTAATTTACGTTTCAGCATTTGAATCTGTACAAATATTACAAAGGACAGTACGTGATAGTGCTGAGTAATGAGTTATTAGAAGCACATCAGCGCAGAAATCGTGAAAAGAAACAAGTACGCATTGATCCTGCAAAACTTCATTTTCAACCGAAAGATTGGTCTAGACGCAGAATTTGATTGGATTATTTTGAACGGAGGTGATGTTGATGGCAGTTGTTTTTGATTGATTTATGCAGTGTTCGAGAGCTTTTTAGGTGAAAATTTCAATTATTTTCTTTGCTCATTTATATCTGTCGGCTTGCGGCTGAATTCGTCATCTGAATGTTTCGTGTTTGTGTGTTTTAACTTTTTTCTTCATTTATTATCTTGTGCATGGTGTTTGCGTGCAGTTTATCTGCAGTGAACGCTCATGATAGTATTAATTTGGTGCCTGCATTTGGAAATGAGGGGATATTCTACGAGAAATTGAAAACGAAAGATCTTCGCGAGGCGAGAGGTTGTGGGGAGACTGATACACAATGTAATGATTAGGGATTTTAATTGAATCGTTTTTACGCGTTCCTCTGTCATATTTGGTTGCATGGAATTTAACGATAAAATTGTTATTGGATTGTTTCAGTTATTCAGTGAGAATTTATGGAAAGTGGTATTTCGTTATCGTTATTTTGAATTGTGAATTATTTAGAGTAGTTTTTGTATAATAGGTGCAGAAATTGTTTGTGAGAAGAAATTTTTGGTTCGTAGAATAAAGTGAATCAGTGATAAAATGCAATGTTGTGTTCATTGAGCGATCCATTCGAAGATGATTTTCACGTTTGTTAACGGTTTCGTTTGTTCGCAACAGTTGAATGCATTTTATTTTTCTTAATAATTCATAATTTTCTCATGTATTCATGATCGTGCTTTGAACGTATGGGTAAGAAGGTCATTCAATTTTTGAATTTTAGTTAATGTATTCTATGAACAAGTATAAGTAATTGCTATAAATCGCATTCTCATTAGACATTGTTCGATATTACAAGGTATCAGTTTTATTGTAGTGGATAGGTGTTATGGTTTGTATTACATTTATGGATGTGTTTGCATTATTTTATGATCGTATTGCATCGTTTCATTATGCCGTTTCAATCGGATATTCATATGTTATGTATGACGTTTGTCATGTTTTTGTGAGTGTAATAATATCAGTAATGAATAATGAGAATGTCTGTCAATCATAATTTTTGGGTATTTTTAGAATACTTTGAATGAAAAGGTCCTTTCGACAAAGCGTTTTTGCACGCTTTTCCGCTGATCGCTTTGTGCATTTTCTTGCCCCTTTAAATTAGTTTTATTGCATTCAAATGCTACAGATAAGATTAATTTTCTCATTCCCCAGAGAATTTCATTATGATCCCTCCATATAAAGTACTAATTTTCAGTAATAACTTATCTCGTTAACATGAAAAAAATAATTGAAATGTTTTTATGTTGTTGAGATGTGTGCCATTTTTCAAAGAATTGGAGATCGTTTCGCATTTTTCTCATTTTGAATGGGCTTTAAGCATTATTCATCCAGAACGCTTCATTGTATAATACATGTACATTGTCAATGAGTTTCAATGTGAATTGAGTATGCTTTCACATGTTTGTATCTATTGTTTTCTGATAATCTCGCGTGTATTCGTTGGTTTTTTCTTGGTTTGTTCATTCATTATTCCGTTTGGTAATTCCTTTCAAATGTTACAGTTAATTTCTGTTTGATTTCGATTGTCGTCGCATTGTAATTCTAAGAAATCTTCTAGCAAAAGTGTATGATAAAATGGAATTGAATGCAGAATTTTTTACTTCAACGTTCAAACTTCACAGCAAAACTTAAAAGCAGCCAGAAACGTTTCTGCTCTGCATTTGATTGGAATCGACGTGCATTGAAATGGAAATTTATAGAGCGTTATAAAAATGCAATAAGAATCACATGTCTCTAAAATTATTTGCTCATTTGTGGAACCGAAGCTAGCGCAGAACGTTTTCGCTTCGACAATTTCCTTTAAATATTTAATTTGCCAAAAAATTCAATCTAAACAGACAGGAGTGTTTTATACTGCACTTTACATTTGCATCATATCACATGCATATATGTGAAGAATAAAAAGCAGTTTCTTATTTAAGAGTGATGCTTCGATTTAAAAGGTTGTTTACTGATGAGAAAGCTTAATCAAGAAGTCGGCATGAAATGGAACCGTCAAGCTGAGAGCAATTAAAACCGAACGGAAGTCAACTGCATAATTAATGCTTTTTCATTGCTGCATGGATATGCAGCCGCCGCCCCCAACGAATATCCCAAAAGACATTCAGACTATTCATCTGTTTTCTTAGAATAACCCTCTGAAATCTTGGCCCGAAAGATAAAATTTTTGAAGTACGGAATGAAATTTATGGGATTTGTTGAGATTTGTTTTTGAGAATACAATGAAAGCGAAGTGCTTTTTAATCTGAGGGAGTTTGCTGAGGAAACGACAGCGACATGATTGAGGAAACACTTTGGCACTTTGCTTGCTTAGAAATCAGTGAAGATGCTAGAGATTCCGCCGAAAACCGCAGAACTTATCAGCAGTCTGTGAAAATTCAAAAATCCTACAAATTTTTCAGTAACTTCGACGAACATTGTGAAAATCGTGCAGAAGGCTTCTTTTCATATCCTCATTTTGCGTGCTTGCTTACAATTAGCAAATCATGCACTATGATCTGCGTTCTAGATCAACAGTGAACAAGAAAGAACTCTATGTTCTGCGTATCGTTCTCCTTTGCAAGTGCGGCTTTCAGGATTCATACGGGATTTTAACACCGTATCAACATCGCTTATCGCTGATATATTTTGACGTTAATTCAAAGTTTCATTCGTTGAAATCGACAATTTTGAAGTGTAAACATTGAGTGATTGCTGCACTTCAGTTTGATTCGTTGAAACAGTGATAATAATCGCTAATGAAATTGTTGAATGAAGTTCGTATAAGTGTTATAAAACCGCTTATAAACATCGAATCATTATTGTCTTGTAATGTAGCATGCGTACTTTGAAATGATTTGCTGAATGTGAAGGAAGAAGAAAATTTTCTTTTGAATTCATGCAATTCAGTGCAGCTTTTAGTCCTTTTATTGCTTTTCATTCTTGGAATCAGACTATTATGTGCCGCCGCTCAATGAATGGTTCTCATTTTGTTTAGCCAGGTTCAATTTGATATCGAAATTTTTTGAAGTATCCAAGAAGTATCGTGATCAGTTTCATGTTTTGTAAAATAGACATTTAGCGTTCTACACATTAATTGAGCTTTTTTATTTATTAGACTGATTGTAAGCCGGGAAAGACTAGAAAAATTGCTGATAAAGTTGCGAAAAATCTGAATATTAAATGCATTCAGTGGAGAATTTAGGCGAAGAATAAGAGAGAGGGATTGATTCCGAATGGGTAAGTGTGAATATATGCATTACACTATGGAGGATTTATTCGATATCGCTTTGAAATCATTGTAGGAAATTTTGTGGCAAGGCAATGATGAGATGTGAAGCCTTTCTTGATGTTCTGAAATTTTCTAGATAGCTGAGCGAAATTCTCTCGTAATGAGAGGAACTTTCTATGGGTTCATATTTGTGACCTTACTAAAGCATTGTGGCAGATGGAATGTGCAGAATAAATCGGCCGATTCGAACTGAATTTCCTGGAATTTTGTGAAATTTTTTTATCTTCCAATCTTCGTTCCTATTTCCAACGAAAAAAAAGGCATAAATTCCTCGCTACACCTAAATCGAGCATGAATGTAGAGCGAGATTGCTTGAATTGAGTGCTTTCATGTGAACAAAACCCAACTTGTTATCTGAATGCTGAAAATTTTTTCTGCGAGATTGTTAGAGATGACAATGTGATTCAATATGAGGGAGGAAACGATGGAGTGTTTGCAAGGATAACTTATCGAGAGTCTTGCTGAGTGTGTGCATCACATTACTTGTCTCTAATCTGCTATTCGAACGGAGATTGTTTTCGTTTTGATTTTCACTTTTGCATTCATATTAATGATAATTGCAAAGAAAGTTTGAGTCAAAATGCATCGAGAAGTGAGAATAGTGAAGAAGTGATCTGTTCATCTTTCGATTATCATTCGTTTATTATTGTATCTATTGCTTTCAGTATCATCATTAGTGTTTTGCAACAGAGGCGGACGGGCGGTGTTCAGTTCAAGATAAAAGTGCAGTTGAGCCACATTTGGATAATTAATTAATTGCACGTAAACGCTTAGAACAGGCACAAAATGTGATCTGTCATTAGAGCAAAGTCGAACGTTTGAGTCGTTCGATTTTTCACTTTGACAAGAATTATGTAAGAGTACAATTTTATAGTGAATTTGACAAATACTGGGAAGATAGTTTGGCTTCAAAGCTGAAACGAACAAGTAAACAAGAAGGGCTTAGCTTCATTCAGTCTTTGAGCACCAAAAGAGTCTGGCCTGGACTTTAGAAATGATCTGGTCTGACCGTTACATTTCTGTTTGTTAATGATGGTATCTGATCGACGTTCGGACGAAATATTGCGAAATTTCATTCGGATGCCATCAACACTATTTAGGATAGTAATGTTCATAGTGGTTATGGTAACGAGAATGATTTTTTATTTGTTATGTCATTTTAATATGAAAATAGCAAAGTAACAGCAAAGTCCAACTCTTTTATTTTGAGTGCCTTTGAGTTGTCTAATTAAAGATTGAATCAGCGAATTAAAATTTGGGAAAAACTGGTTTATTCTTAAATTCATTTGATGTGTCATTACCTTTTTATTACAATAATAATAATTTTGTTACACTAACTGCCGATAATGTGACTGATAATTCGTGAGGTTGAGCAGACACAGCATTAGTTGAATGGTGCAAAACAGGAATGGTGCTCAGGTGAACGGTCATTATAAAAATTTGAGAAGTTTCATAAAAGTAACGATTAAGAGTTTGAAAAAGGGCTGCTGATTGAGCTAAATGAACAGATCTTCGGTTCGCGGCTGAACGTTTGATTAAAGTTTTAGCCCAAACAGTGCTTCAAGTGACTGCAATAAATACAAATACAGGATTCGTTTAGTTCATAAGGTATACATAAAATAAGAATATGAGTCTGCAAATAACAACATCTTATCAGTAGCATCTGCGTTTGAAGTATGGTAAAAGAATTTGAGAAAACGAAAACTTGTTGATGAAATTTTAAAGATTCAATCAAAATTTTGAAGGGAATTAATCCACTGATAGTGAATGGAAATCTTCTATATTTTTGTCTCTATTTTAATTCTTCCTTCAAATATTTCTTCAAGCAGCAATTCGAACTCTTCTGCCTAATTGCTACCAAATACAAACAAATTTCATGCCTCTTCTCGTCGTGCCACATAAACCTTCTTTACTATTAGTAATTTGTTCAACACATTTGATTATGTGTGAGTAAAATTTTTTTTTAATATTTGAAGGTGATTTATATTGTGATATAGACAATGTTCATTTTTCAACATGGTGGTCGGAGAGTTGTTCTTGTCAGTAGCTTCATCACTCTATGCGTGATGGTTCAATTCTCATCGTGCTCTAGCTTGGAGAATGACTCTGATGAACCGCTCGTAGATGACCTACAAAAAATGGATCTTCAGCAAAAAAACAGGTTATAAGATAGGCGATTCAGATTTTGATTTGAAATCTTTTTTGAATTTTGAAATTCTAATGTTTTATTCCGAATCTGGGTATTTTCATGTTTTTGAAGAATCGGATAAAGCCAAATAGAGCATTTTTCAGAAGAAGTTTGGGATCGATGAATGGGATCACTTTTGACGGAACTCAGCAGCTCTTACCAAGCCGTGCTCTAAGAGGGTCAAGACGTCAACAACTAGTCAGGGACTGCTTAACAAAGAAGATCTCATGCATTCATATTACATTTTGATCATAATACTTGGTGTGAATGACTTAATCGAATTTTGCATTTTGGATGTGTGATAAATTGACAATAAGCGAAAGATCTGTGTATTTACGAGATATTCTGTATTTTCATTATGATGTGTTTATCTATTTGTGCAACTGCTTCAGTTCTGATCTGCTGATCAATCGGCGCATTGTATATCTGTCATTAATGTCACTATTATGCTAGTTGATAATTTCATGATACGATAAAATTAAATCATGTTGATTCGCTGCATTGTACTACCATTAAAAAATACACTCTTTTTGACAGAAATGCTTCTTGCAATACATTATTGCACTCGAGAAATTGTGTGTTTCAAAAATGGATAATTTGAACTGATTCGATGAAGTGTCGAACTCGGTGGATTGTTTGTTGAGAGTGAAGAAATTTTATGTAAAGTGACGCCCTCAAGAATCGATTCGTTATTAACGGTAAGCTATCCAATCATTCACGCAGCGATTTTCTTGTTTTTGCTCATTCGCATGAAATGAACTGGTAGCAACAAATCAACCGTTGTATTCATTGACTGTTTATGGAATGATCATGTGAAGAATACAAAAAAGAAAATATTATACTACCTTTCATTGGCGTTCATTTTTATCTCTCTTCAAAAAATATTTAACGTTTTGATTTCGGTGACAATCTCAAGTTTGCATCCAACAACTTATCAATTCTTGCAGTTTGTCTTGTTCTGTTTCGTTTGATTTATTCCCTTCTCTTCTCTTCGTTTTCGATCGAGAATCTATCTTTTCGTGTGCTATGATCATTGGTCGTGAGATGGAATAGCTGACGAGGACTATTGAATATATTTGGCTGTTCATGAACATTGATCATAAATTTTGAAAGGTGCTGAGAGATTGTGATCGATTGCAATCAAATCACTTAATCAAGATTATCATTGGCTAAGAAAGTTATTCCTGCAGTGATTTCAGCAGATTTTGAAACTTGATCAATGTTTTAGATAGTATTTTGAAATGTCAACGAGTTATAAAATAGCCGGCGTGGTGGACGTTCTACAGCCAGCCCATCAGAAGGTTTGCGAAATGTTTTGTCGATTAATTTTCGAATTCAAAGTGGAATTTCTTTTCAACAATAGCATTTTTCAGTACAAGGATGCGCTTTATAGCGCTGGCCAAGCAATGGAGGATCTGATACATATATGCCGAAGTGTACAGTTCGAAACGCACGAAGGCTGGGAGAAACGTGCAAGTCGCAAGAATTTCATTGTTTACTCGAAGTTATTTCCGATCGGCAACGTTTTCACGTTAAGAGTGCGAATTTGATGATTTAATTTCGTTATCCTATCAAGTATTCGAAGAGAATTTGACAGTTGAAAACGGGATTTTTGAGTTTTGGACGCAGAAAAAAAGAAACTTCATCACATTCCGTCAACATTCGTTTATTGAAGTCATATTTGTGACTGACTTTGATTGATTTGAAATGGAAAGGGAGAAATGTCTCTTTCTTATTTTAGACCGAAATCGAGTTTCCATTGGAGCAAATTTTTCGCGAACATTGGAATAACTTCGAGAAAACACCTCAATTCAACAAAAATGCAGCATTTGCTAAGAGGGTTGTAACGTTGGCGCCTCTGGCCGATATTATTCATGTAAGCACGAAGTTTTTTGAGCAGATGTAATGCAATTCAACAATAGTCACTGACAACTAGGAAGTATTTCCTGATTATGATTTGTTGTAATGGTATAAGTTCCTTTAAAGTCTTCAAATTATAAGCGAAATCAAAGAAACTTGATTTCAACAAGTCCGATAAACGGTAAAATGCATGAGCGATGATAACCAAGTGCTTAAATAAGTATTATTGCAGTATGGTCTTAGTGAGGATATCGGTGTGAGTGCACGTGACTTCTTGGCGGGTCGCATGACTCGACGATTGGGCAACGAAATTTTTGTGGCTGCGAGGAGTTTTGAGGAGAACTCCTACGAGAGCATTAAAGACAGCATACGGTAGGGATATTGCGATATGGTAACTAACATTATGTCATTGATAAGTGAAAAAATATTAGAATTTAAG